GGAGGGTTCACATATTGCATAATGATGTTTTACTCCCGTCAGCAAGGCTGATGCGTTCATGAATGATGATCATCGATATTTTCTCACCACCTTTCTGACATTAGTACTAGAACTGTGTCTTTCTCAATTAGGGACATTCCAGCTCATGAGAGGAGATAACCGGAAACAAAATGAGATTCTGCGGACTATAGAGACTCAGCACGACAAAGGCTTCAATCATATAATTTACAAATACCCAGCCCAATAGAGTCGTTCAAAACAAGATGTAAGGAAATTCAAAAAAAGTAAATCACAAAGACAAATCAACCCTACAAACGCCGCGACGAATACGCCCTTTTAGTCCCAACATAGAGTGGTGCCCTTACACCTTCTTCTTCTTCTTGGACGGCTCGGCATCGCTGTCGTGCTTGCGCTTCTTCTTCTCGGATTCGCCTTCGCCAACGTCGGACTTCCGCTTCTTCTTCTTTTCTTCCTTCTCGCCCTTGTCCTTCTTCTCCTTCTTCTCCTTCTTTTCTTTCTTTTCCTTCTTCTCCTTCTTCTCAACCTTTTCCTCGACGTCGTGCATCTCCTTGTCGCTATCATCAGCGTCGATGTCCATATCGGCCAAAACGGCATCCATGGCGGATTTCTGTGATGGTCAGTGACTTGCCCATATAGGATTTTCCTCGAGGAGACTAAACATACCATGGCAACTTCGTTCTTAGTAGGGGCTGCGCCAGAAGCATAAAACTCCAGGCGTTCTTCAACCTGCTTCTTCAGGACTTCACCGAACTTGGTCGAGGGTTGCTCGGAGAAGTTATCAATTCTGGAAGCGATAGAGCACTTGTTTGCAAGGAATCGCGAGATTCTTCCCTTGTTCTTGGGGCCAGCTCGGCCAATGAAAGAGGAGTGGTACAGCAGTCCGTACTTGGGAGTGTTTCCCTTGGTCTTCAGAGCTCTGAAAAGAGCCTTCTCCGCGCCGAGAATCTGCACGGTAGAAGCGGGATACTTGGACAAGTTGGTCAAGCTTCCGGCATGCGAAATCAGACGAGCGCCAACGATCTCTCCGATCAACGCAGCAAGGTTAGGAGCGACGACGCTCATCTTGGAAACCAGGTAAGAGTGCAGCGACTTGCGATACTTGGAAAGGCTGACAACTCTTTGTGCGAACGCAATGACGTTCTCCATGTCCGACTCAGATATTTCCTGGCCCATGCTGTGCTTGGCAGCATCAATAATGCTCTGAGCAACACCCTCATCATCCTCCACAAGAGCAGCAAGGTCGTGCAAGCTCTCATCAGTCAGAGTCTTTTTATCCTTGACAAAGAGTGCAATCTGAGCGTAGCGCTGGTTATCCGAAACGATCTTGACAAGTTCGGGGAAGTGCCACGAGTACCACTCTCTCACCCTCATAGAGAAGGTGTTGATGGCCTTGTCAAGCTGGTCCAAAATTGCAATAGCCTGAATAATGTGGTTGTCGTCCCGCTGGACGGAGAACTTGACCTTAGCACGGGAGTAGGCGTGACCGAGACCAAGCTGGGCAGTACCCATATCACCCTCGCGGAGCTGCTTCAGCAACTTAGTGGCATGCAGCCTGATTCCACGAAGCATATCTTGCACAACTTCACTGGTGTCTCCAGTCTCACAATCGACAAAAGGAAACGCTGATTTGATACTTGAAGCCAGAGCCTTGTCAGCAAGTCCGAGAACGATCTTCTTCTTTTTGCTGGCCTTTGGAAGGTTCAATTCGAGAAAGTTGATAAGAGTATCAGAAGCGACACCTTCCGAAACATCGTTTATTTCGCTGAGCGCCTGCTTGTTGTTTCTAGAGTTTGTCAGCACATACGCATTCCGGCTTGAAGGAGAAAAAATTGAAAAGGTCGTCAAAAACATACTCGAACGGCAGGAAACTGGCAAGTTCAACCATCTTGCCAAACTTCGCAAGATCATTCACACCATCCTGAACCTCCTTCAAGCGATTTCCAACGCTGTCTCCCTGGTGAGCGACTTTGAAGATTGAGTAGCCAATAGGGCCCTCGAACAAAAGGTAGTCGGCCATGGCGAAATCTTCTTAATGTCTTCAAATTCACAAAAAAAAAGTCAGTTGATTGATCCGAGAACCCAAACCCACTGCGCAGTCACCGGTCACCTGCGATTGCAGTCTTGGTGTGTCCCGACGTGGAGTTGAAAAAGGGCTGGAAGGTGGATTTGGAGAGTCCGAACCGTCAGAGCTCTTTTTTTTCTTTCGCGGCGGCGCTAGTGCGAACATCGAATGTGGGCTTTTTGCCAAAACTCAGGCTCACCGCATTCGCCGGGGCCTACCAGCAGTTTGTGCCAACGCGGGTTTCTTTTCTGGGCGACCAATATCAACAGGGGTTATTTTCATTTTGAGTACTTCCGCGTGCTCTTTTGTTGTCTGTCAACGATTTCAATCTGCAGAGAATGTCTGCAACTCAGCTACTGAACCCCAAAGCCGAGTCGAGGGTATGGGAAAAGCTCCGAACTGCCCCTCAATTATCTAGACACACACTGACACCGCACAGCGGAGGGCGGAAGCTCTAAAAGTGAACATTAGCGCTGGTGAGGGCCTTCAGGATGTCTTGAAGTCTAATTTGGGTCCATCTGGGACTCTAAAGATGTATGTTTCACTTTCGAAACGATCCAATAATGACAAAGTACTGACACGAAGTAGGTTGGTGGATGGTGCTGGCGGAGTATGGACCATTTCTCTTTGAATGAAGAATACATTATCTAACGGCAGTCCCATACAGATTAAGTTGACTAAAGATGGCAACGTGCTCTTGCGAGAGATGGTAAGTTATGCTCTGCCATGTCATATGAACCCATACTGACTAACTCAGCAAATCCAAAACCCAACAGCCGTAAGCTGCCCGCGATTCGAACTGGAGGACAACTTTTTACTCACATGAACAAGGTTATGATTGCCCGAGCCGCCACAGCACAAGACGATATTACCGGTGACGGAACGACGTCCGTCGTCCTGATGGTCGGAGAGCTCTTGAAGCAGGCTGATCGGTATATCTCTGAGGGGCTGCATCCCAGAGTGATCACGGATGGTTACGAGATTGCCAAGAATGAAGCTCTCAAGGTCGGTATTGGATAGAAATAGCTTAATTCGTTCAACGAGAGGCTGAAAATATTGCTTGTATAGTTCCTCGACCAGTTTAAGATTGAGCGCAATATTGACCGCGAATTGTTGCTCTCTGTTGCTCGGACGTCACTCGCCACGAAACTGAACAGCGCCCTCGCTGAAAAGCTTACACCGGATGTCGTCGATGCAGTCCTTGCCATCCACAGAGCCCCTGAGAAACCCGATTTGCACATGGTTGAGATCATGACCATGCAGCACCGGACGGCGTCCGACACACAGCTCATCCGTGGTCTCGCTTTAGACCACGGTGCAAGACACCCTGATATGCCTAAGAGGGTTGAGAATGCTTTCATTCTGACTCTGAATGTCAGCTTGGAATATGAGAAGTCGGAAATCAACTCTGGTTTCTACTACTCCTCGGCCGAGCAGAGGGACAAGCTGGTGGAGAGCGAGCGAAAATTCGTGGACGCTAAGCTGCAGAAGATCGTAGAGCTGAAGAAGCAGGTTTGCGGTACTGACCCCAAGAAAGGCTTTGTCGTGATCAATCAAAAGGGCATTGACCCTCTGAGCTTGGATGTCCTTGTCAAGAACGGAATTTTGGCCCTCCGGAGAGCTAAGCGGAGAAACATGGAGCGGCTCCAGCTGATTTGCGGTGGTGTTGCTCAGAACAGTGTGGACGACCTTACCCCTGATGTTCTAGGATGGGCCGGCCTGGTTTACGAACATCAGCTCGGAGAAGAGAAGTACACATTTGTTGAAGAGGTCAAGGACCCCAAGTCTGTCACCATCCTCATCAAGGGGCCCAACCAACACACTATCGCTCAGGTCAAGGATGCAGTCCGCGATGGCTTACGATCTGTCTACAACACCATCGTCGATGGCTGCGTTGTTCCTGGTGCTGGTGCTTACCAAGTCGCTTGCGCTCATCACCTGTCCTCTGAAGGTGTTCGAAAGTCTGTCAAGGGCAAGGCCAAGTGGGGTGTTGCTGCTTTTGCCGATGCCCTTCTGGTTATTCCCAAGACCCTGGCTGCTAATTCAGGCCATGACATCCAGGATTCCTTGGCTGCTCTGCAGGATGAGCGTGCGGAAGGTAATGTGGTCGGGTTAGATTTGACGACGGGAGAGCCCATGGATCCGGTGCAGGAGGGTGTCTTCGATTCTTACCGGGTCTTGCGTAACTGCATCGCATCGAGCACTGGTATAGCCTCGAACCTACTTCTGTGTGACGAACTGCTCAAGGCCAGACAAATGAGCAAGCAAGGTGGGCCTGGCGGCATGGATGAGTAATGCAGATATTACGTGTAAAGGGCTGTTAGAGTCATGTCATGCTTGCAAGATTGAAGCAATTATGCCTAAAATGTACTCGAATAAATTCAATAATTACCTCTTGAACCTCAGTTGACCTCATATTACTTATACTTCATCTGGTTGAAGTGACTGAGAGATAAATACCTTTCGAAGTCATGAAATTGGTATATCGCAGTGATCACTCCATATTAAGTATCGAGTTGTCAGTAAAGACACGACCAGTTTCTGCCTCTGAACCAGTGAAGTATCAGTGACTTTTGACTGAGGAATAAAGCATTCCTATCTTACCTTTGATAAAGGTAACTTACCTTAGGTTTTCCCTTAGTAAGGCAATCTAGATTTAACTTCCGTCCAATGATGAACCTCCCCTCGCCTTTCCCCCTTCCATTAGACATCATGCCGGTCCAAGCCCCCATGTTCCCCTCAGTGATACAAAAGATGGCTTCACCTGATCCTTCTTCTTCAACAGTCAGATAGACAGGACGGAGGAGCCAGAGGGTTGAAGGGCTGCTTTGGACCTATTATGAGGGGTTCCTGGCTGCTACCTACCTCAGTAAAGGAATGCCCCCACTTCAGCTCTCAGATCAGCCCCGCGATAATAATGCCCCCGAGTCGGCCGACGATGTTAATCGGCTCCCCTAACCGCAAGCGAGAATCGTCGGACTCAGGTTGTGACAGCCCACCAGCCTCCCACTTCTCACCAGTCTCCGTTGCGAGCCATCAGGAAGCGAGACTCCTCGAGGAAGAGGATCTAGGGAGGTACAGCCCTCGAGCCGCAGTTGCCGGTCGCCTAGGCGCGCTGGCTATTCACAGTGAGAATAATTCGAGTTTGTCTAATTCGGATGCAAGTCTGTACAAAGACCCATTCGTAGACTCACTTCGCACGAAATGCTGGGTTGACTCATACAACGGTCTCCATGACATGGCTGAGAATACTTCTACTGAACCCAGCGATTTTGGCTTTAATGCGTCTTCGAAAGGGAATGGCCATCTTGATGATGCAAATCTTGCTGCTTCAGCTTCGACCGTCAAGAAAAAGTCGCTTTCAAGCCCCCGTAAGAGAAAAGCCACCTCAAATGATACATCAAGGATGCGTCATAAGCAGGGTTCGCCGTCTCCTGACAGCACAATGGAGGACAATTCACTTACTTGGAATGATTCTGAAATAACTGGTCACGACCCCAAAGATCCAAATGATGACGGATATGGCATCAACGGCATCGGATTCAAGCCTACTGCAGCAATCGCTTGGGCCAGAGCGCAAAAACGACAAAAGCAGGTGGCTGAATGGAAATCTCGAGAAGCAAGAGAAGCGCGCGAAAAGCGAAGAGAAAGACGTGACGGTCATGAATTTGATAAACTTCGCTCGATCCAGAGTGGCACAATTCAGAAGAAGGTCAAATTCAATCTCTGAATTTATTCAGTTCAAAACTGCATTTAGCTGGACTGGCGTTTTGGCTTTCTCTCATTTCTTCTCGTTTTGGCTGGCGAATGGGGTTGAATAAGCGATGATACATATTTTTGGACTGATCATATTGGTTCGCCATTCGAATGACCGCGACGCTGGAAATCGCTATTTTAGAAATATGTACTCCGTACTTTATATGCTATTTTACATTGCACCACTAGTGACATCCCAGAAACTCCGTGACTCCCAACATTGTGCCGCGCCATATGTCTACCAGAACTTATAATTCGACAGGTTCGTCCAGCTCTTCCTTTTCTTCTCTTCTTCGGCTAAGCGGGCAGCCTCTTCCGCCATCTGCTTTTCCTTCTCTCGCTGTTTCTTGAGCTTCAGTTCCTTCATCAATTCCACTGCTTGCTTCATACCATCCAACTCCTGGACTCGTCGCCGCTGGCAGAACTCGTGAGCTGCGAGGGAAGTGATAGCGAACGCCCCAACGGCCCAGTTGCAGGCTGTCCATATTGAGCGCAGGCCTAAGTGCAAGCCACAGTTAGTTCTGAGATCCTCCTGTCGGTTCGCATCACTGTGAAGATATCCAGCTTACCCCCTAATACACCCCTCACCCCACCGATACCAAATCCGGCACCGATCCCTAGCAATAATGAATCCCGAGCGCATGGAGCTTTGTAAAACGAGGTGACTTCTTTCAAAGACATCGACTTCATTGCTTCGGTGACCGAGACGTCGTTCGCATCCTTCTTCGTTCCATTATAGCCTGTATTTGACAATACGTTTGCGGATTCTTCTGGATTGCCAAACGCCTCCCACAACTTTCCGACCTGCGACTTTGGGAGCTCATACTTTGTTTTCTTTCGTGACGATGATGAGTCTTCCGAGGCTGTCTGTTCGTTTGCGCCCGCGATCGGCATATGTGTGGTAGAGTCCCGATTATCGTCGGCCATCTTTTGAAATTATAATTCTCGCTCGAGTAAGAGAATATTCAACAAAGCTTATGACTTCGTCGACATGGGCAGACGAAGTGCGGAACGACGGTTATACCGGCCGGATCAACCCAAGATCCGAATCTATAGACTTTTAGACAAATCAGGCTAGCTCTTCCGGCAGACCCAGCACTCTAAAAGAGGTTTAATGGCACGCGTAAAGTAGGAACGCGAACGCGTCGAAATCGGAAAACAGGGCAAAATTAGCAACTGGGGAGCAGGCAGTGGTCGAGTCAATGGACTTGTACATGCTTACTTCGATATAATAACCAACCCATTGACAGATACCTCGCACAGCTATGCTCAAATACTTGCTGCATTGATCTTAACTTCGGGTTCCATGCTCATCGACAATCTATTTGTTCGATAATTGATATTCGGCCCTGACCCGCGGGCCTCGCCGTCGCTATGCCTGCGCGACAACCCAGCAAGTATGGCACTAAGTTCCGGTCCAGTTCTGCGAGCTTCAAGCCCAAACGTACAAAGACAGTCGAATTTTCGTCGTTAAGGTCGACCGAAGCTACGTCCCAAGATGAGAAATTCGAGGCGGTTCGACTGGCAAACAGCATCGACGAAGCCTTGGGCTTCCCGCGCTTCGAATCCGGCGAGAAGAGGGTCGGCTGGCTCATCAATATGCATAGCACCTCGATAGAAGATCCGAACGTTTCTGGTGGACGTGCTGGGGTGGATTACTATTTTTTGGAGGACGGAGGTGGCAGCTTCAAGGCAACGGTGGAGTACGATCCGTATTTTCTCCTCGCTGTGAAGAAAGGCCATGAAGCGGAAGTCGAAGAATGGTGCCGGAGGATGTTCGAGGGACTGATCAAGAAGATAAAAAGGGTAGAGAAGGAGGATCTCCAGTTGCCGAACCATTTACTTGGCAATCGTCGAACGTTCCTTCAGCTCAACTTTGCGAATGTGAGCCATCTACTGGACGTTCGTAAAACGCTACTTCCACTGGCAGAGAAGAACAAGAAGAATGTGAATGTAATGGATACTTATGCAGAGATTTCCAGGTTCGTTTTGTGCCGAGGAGCGATATGGTCCTGTTGACTTGAAGCTAATCCTTCCAGCGCAAATGCCGGATTCGACCTCTTTGATGATGAACTGATTAACGAGTCACGACCTAATGGCAATATGCATGCAAGTGATTTTATTATTGATATTCGAGAATATGATGTTCCCTACCATGTTCGGGTGGCAATCGACAAAGGTTGGCAACTAACTCTCCGTATATGTCAATAAACAATGACTGACAGACCCAAAGATATCCGAATTGGAAAATGGTACACTGTTGAAGCGAAGCACGGTCTTATCTCCTTGACCTGTCTAGAAGAACGACTTCAGCGGGCTGATCCAGTGATTCTTGCCTTCGATATCGAAACGACAAAATTACCGCTGAAGTTCCCGGATTCTGTGATCGACCAGATTATGATGATCTCCTACATGATTGATGGCCAAGGATTTCTAATAACCAACCGAGAGATAGTGTCTGAAGACATTAACGATTTTGAGTATACACCCAAGCCCGAGTACAGCGGGCCATTTATGATTTTCAACGAGCCTAATGAGCGAGGCGTCATCGAACGCTTTTTCGAGCACATAAAAGAAGCAAAACCGACGGTCATTGCCACATACAACGGTGACTTCTTCGATTGGCCATTCGTCGAAGCTAGAGCTAGCGTGCTTGGAATTGACATGTACAAGGAGATCGGCTTTCGCAGAACAAGTGAGGACATCTACCAAAGTGACCACTGTGTGCACATGGATTGCTTTGCCTGGGTCAACCGTGACAGTTACCTTCCTCAAGGAAGCCGTGGTTTGAAAGCTGTCACTGTTGCGAAGCTCGGTTACGACCCTGACGAGCTAGATCCAGAGCTGATGACTCCTTATGCAAGCGAACGCCCTCAAACCTTGGCTGAATACTCGGTTTCAGATGCTGTGGCGACCTATTATCTGTATATGAAATACGTGCACCCGTTCATCTTCTCGCTTTGTACAATCATTCCACTCAACCCTGATGACACGCTGCGGAAAGGAACCGGAACACTCTGTGAAATGCTGTTAATGGTACAAGCATATAAGGGTGAAATTGTACTTCCGAACAAGCACAAAGATCCCCCGGAGTCGTTCTACGAGGGCCATCTCCTGGAATCAGAGACCTATGTCGGTGGTCACGTCGAAAGTATTGAAGCAGGTGTATTTCGCAGCGACATCCCTGTCACATTCACCATCGATACCACTGCTATTGACGAACTACTCCGAGATCTCGATGCCGCTTTGAAATTCAGTATTGAGGTTGAAGAGAAGAAATCCATGGATGATGTGGTAAACTATGAGGAAATCAAGGCACAGATCGCAGAACGTTTGGTCAACCTCAAGGAAAAACCACACAGGGACGAGGTCCCTTCCATTTACCACTTGGACGTTGCTTCCATGTATCCCAATATCATGATCACCAACCGATTGCAACCGGACTCCATGATTCAGGAATCTGATTGCGCTGCCTGCGACTTCAACAGGCCCGGGAAGACCTGTGACAGGAGATTACCGTGGGCTTGGCGTGGTGAGTTCCTTCCAGCCAAGCGTGACGAGTACAACATGATCAGACAAGCTGTTGCAAATGAGCGATTCCCTGGGAGAAATAAGAACAGCCCGATGAGGTCCTTTGGCGAGATGAGCGCCGAGGAACAAGCTGCTATTATCAAGAAGCGCCTTCAAGATTATAGCAAAAAGATCTATCACAAGATTCACGACAGCAAGACCATTGTGCGCGAGGCAATCATCTGCCAGCGTGAAAATCCTTTCTATGTTGACACTGTTCGCAGCTTTCGTGACCGACGATATGATTTCAAAGGAAAGCAGAAAGTCTGGAAAGGGAAGACTGAAGCCCTCAAAGCAGGAGGTGCTTCTGCTGCGGAGGTTGAAGAAGCAAAGAAGATGATTGTGCTGTTCGACTCATTACAACTTGCCCATAAAGTCATCTTGAACAGTTTTTACGGTTATGTCATGAGAAAGGGGTCTCGGTGGTACTCGATGGAAATGGCCGGTGTGACGTGTCTTACTGGCGCTCATATTATCCAAATGGCAAGAGAGCTCGTTGAACGTATCGGCCGGCCACTGGAACTCGACACCGATGGTATTTGGTGTATGCTCCCAGGGAGTTTTCCCGAGGATTTCTCGTTCACTCTGAAGAACGGCAAGAAGCTTGGTATATCATATCCCTGTGTCATGCTAAATCACCTCGTGCATGGAAAATACACCAATCACCAGTACCAAACACTTGTCGACCCGAAGACGTTCCGATATGAAACGCATAGTGACAACTCTATTTTCTTTGAAGTCGATGGCCCTTACAAAGCGATGATACTCCCCACGTCGAAAGAAGAGGATAAGAACTTGAAGAAACGCTATGCTGTTTTTAACCATGATGGATCCTTAGCTGAATTGAAGGGCTTCGAAGTCAAGCGAAGGGGAGAGCTGAAGTTGATTAAGATATTCCAAACTCAAATTTTCCGCTTCTTTTTGGAAGGATCCACCCTGGAAGAAACATATGCTGCTGTTGCTCGAGTCGCTGATAGATGGCTAGATGTTCTTTATGAACATGGCGCAACGTTGGCCGATGAGGAGCTCATTGAACTCATTTCTGAAAATAGGAGCATGACAAAGACTCTGGAAGAATATGGGAATCAGAAGTCAACGTCCATCACGACAGCACGGCGGTTGGCAGAATTTTTGGGAGAGCAGATGGTGAAGGACAAGGGTCTCAACTGCAAGTACATCATATCTGCGAAGCCAAGGAACACACCTGTCACGGAGCGAGCCATTCCAGTGGCGATATTCTCAGCTGAAGAGCCTGTCAAGCGATTCTTTTTGAGGAAATGGTTGAAAGACGACCCCGGAGATATGGATCCTCGAAGTGTCATCGATTGGGACTATTACCTTGAGCGATTGGGCTCTGTTGTACAGAAATTGATCACAATTCCCGCTGCACTTCAGAAAGTCCGCAATCCAGTCCCCCGAGTAGCCCACCCTGACTGGCTTCAACGGCGGATCAACATGAAGGAGGACAAGTTCAAGCAGACAAAGATGACCGATATGTTTGGGAAGACAGAAAAGAACCCACTTTCTGACATCTCAACAAACATCCTGGATCATCGTGTCCAGCATCACGGCGACATCGGGGAAGCTGTTGCGAATTCGACACAGAAACTGAAGTCGTCACCGAACAGCAAGATCTCACAGAAAAGAAAACACCCTGAAGGTCTGACAAAGACCTTGCTTGATCCTTTTGCCAGCCTTCCAGCCAAAATGCCTTCGTTGAACGACGACTACGTTGAATTCTTGAAGTACCAGAAGCAAAAATGGAAATTGCAGAAGCAAGCTCGAGCCCGCCGTCGCCAGCTCTTCGGAGAACGCATCAATGTGGCAACTGATTCTTTAAGCAATCTCTTCAGGAATCAAGCAGAGCTGCTGTACATTAATACATGGCAAGTTCTTCAGCTCTGTGAAACAGGTAGACCTGGCATTGTCCGGGCATTCGTCTTAATTGACCGCAAAATCCATGCGCTTACAGTCAAGGTCCCCAGACAGATCTACATCAATCTGAAACGGGACTCGCTGCCAGATGTTGATGTTCGGGACTGTGAGGTGGAAAAGGTCAACCACACTTTGCCCAACGGACATCCTTCGGTTCATCTATTCAAATTGACGTTGTCCGAAGACACATACCTGCGCGAAGCAGACAAAATAGACGCTCTTCTGCAACACCCCAGCATCGAAGGAGTCTATGAGAAGAACATCCCTCTGAGTATCCGCGCTGTTCTAAAGCTGGGCAGTGTATGCACCTTTGAGGAAGAACAACGAGGAGTTCTTGGTGAGGGGTTGGATCGAGGATTCGATCTCTCGACGTTATGCCATACGACTCCTGATGAACCTTACCTTCTGAACTCACCCTTGGCTTACCATTATCTGTACCATGTCCTCTCGGGTGACAGGCAGATATTCGCTTTGTTTTCGACCACAAAGTGCGAAGCACACATTGTCGTCCTCAATCGCACGAGGGATGTTCAAGGCCTGCCGAACGTTGATAAAATATACGCAGAGCTTCGTGCGCGCACAATGGAAACGATGACAGGAGACCAGTCCCAGAACGCGTTCGAATACCAGGAGAAGATCCATTTCAAGACCACGCAAGTGACGACTAGGAGGAAGGCGTATCTGGAGATTGGCGACTTGATCAAGAAACTCAAAGGCGAAGAAACTCAGCCCGCCGTCATGGTCATACAATCCCATCAGAGACACCGCCTGTGCCACGATATTCCCATCTTGAAAGAGTATCCGGTTCTTCCAGTGAAGCCCGAAGTGTCGGATATGGACCTTCCACCTTTAGGCTGGCAATCATTTATTGCCAAGCGTCTGGTGACGCACTACTTGTATCTTGCTTCTTGGATTCAACATTTGACCATGCTGGCTAGATATGGTGATGTACCTCTCTGCAATCTCGAGAATGACGATCCTCGGTATCTCATTGATATCTCATATGCAAGGCGCCTTCAGCAAAACAATGTTGTCCTCTGGTGGTCTAATGGTCCAAGACCTGATCATGCGGGTTACGAGAAAGACGATATTACTGGTCCCCTGGAGAGAGTTTCAATGCCGTCAGTCAACGTGCCCAGCGCATATAACACTGTCTGCATTGAACTGGAGGTTCGTAACCTCTCAATCAACACCATTCTGACCTCCTCGATCATTAATGAAATGGAGGGGGCAGACACTCTTCTGGCATCGTCAGAACCCTCAGCGGACGCAAACGGCTCTGGCGTTCTCTACTCGGAGAAGGCATTTGCTTCAGCCGGTGCTGTCGTGCTCCGTGAAATGGTGAAGCATTGGTGGTCGGAGGCTTGTGAAGGGAATAATATGGCCGACATTATGGTCCAGCATTTGATTCGATGGGTTGAGAGCCCGGTTTCGTGTCTCTATGATCGATCCTTGCACAATTATGTGCGAATGCTGTCCAGGAAATCATTTCAGCGGCTCATGGCTGAGTTCAGGCGTGTCGGTTCAAATGTCATATTTGCGAGCCCTACCCGTCTTTTGCTCCAGACTACGAAGACAGAGGTGGGAAACGCATATGCATATAGCCAATATGTCCTAAAGTCCATCCGTGCGAACCCATCATTCCACTTCATCGATCTTGAGATCAAAGAGTACTGGGATTATCTCGTTTGGTACGACGAATACAATTATGGTGGCAAGGGATGCCGAGAGGTAACCGGATCTGAGGACCAGGATCTTGAGACGGTGATGCATTGGCAGCTTAGTCGCTTTCTACCAGTTCCCATGCAAACGATTTTTCATGATTGGGTTGTGGAGTATATCGAACTCATGCATTCCCTCAAACGGCCTGATTCTGATGATTCCTCTACACCTCGTCTTACGCAGATTCCAATTGGGAATCCTAGCGAAGATAATGACGAAATTACGTCAATCCTCGCGGAAAAATTCTCAAAGCCTCTCAAGAAGCAGATCTCTGGCCTCATTCGGCGTCAACGGGATGAACTGCTTCATCCGGAGCTGGCATCCGACTACGTCTTCCCAGTCCTTCCTGGAGTCCTAGTGGATGCCAACAATGATAAACGCAACCCTGTCCTTGAACTCGTCAAATTGTTGATGCAGGTTTTGAGTCTGTCTAAGACAACGACTCTGGAGACTCGGCTGCTGCGCCGGGAACTCTTAGCGATGTTCGAAGTACGTGAGTTCAGCAAAGATGGCCGGTTCGAGAATCCGGGGGCAAGTCTGAAGCTTCCTGAGCTTTCTTGTAACGCCTGCTGTCTCATACGTGATCTGGACCTGTGCCGGGACGAAGATGTGCTCCCGGAGATTGGGTCAGACCCAAGCAAAGCAGCACCCAAGCCCTGGCGGTGCCCTTTCTGCCAAACAGAGTACGATCGATTGGCACAGGAAGAGGCCCTCATCGGCCAAGTCCAGGGCTTGATTGTCGGTTGGCAGACACAGGACCTCAAATGCTCCAAGTGCGGGGGTCTTAAGATCAGCGAATTCATGGAACATTGCTCATGCAGTGGTCACTGGGTGGAAACAATGGATCGGAGAGAGGTTGAAAAGAAGCTTCGTCTTTTGAGCAGCGTAGCCAAATTTCATGGTCTGAAGCTGCTGGAAAGTGTTGTGGAGGGTGTCCTTGCGCAAATATAATACTTGGTCTCCTATTACCCCCTGTCGCTGATGTTTGCTGTTGACTATTCAAACTATATACTCTGTGTTGGCTATACCATGGCATTGCGGGGCGTGATGGGGTCATTTGGGGAAAGGCGTTGTTACACCTCAGGCATTGATGAGCTAATTGGCGATCAATAATAAACAATCTGATAGAGTATCTCTGGGCTTGATGTTGCATAAATTGTGAGAGCAATTGACTGAAATTAGGAAGATTATTACATGAATTCTCGTTGCTTTGTACAGTTCCCATTTCCATAAGCCGTAGTGGACCGCCAATGTGCCGAAAGTTAAATCACGTTGTCAGCTGAACCTACAGATATCAGTTTCAGAGCTTCTGCTGCATCCCCCAAGGCCTTCTGGCTTATCGCAAGGACCTCAGATTCGTAAAGAGGCCTACTTCTCTTATATTGATTCGAAATAAAAGCTACGGACACTATCACAGGTTTCGCGAGAACCCTATTCTTTGGGATACGTCTATTGTAACCCCGCAATTCCCTTTCTAAGTGCGAAACAACAGCCCGCCGATTGCGATAAGAAAGCTTTTACCAGGAAGTACGCCCACACCCCATCTTCGCCGTCTGCTTCGAAGGTTTCTTTTCTTGTCGAATAGTTTTCTGGGCGTTCAAGCAGTAATTGCTTTTTGGTTGGTCCTCTCGCTAGTTTCTCGGCCTACTGTTCTGACACACTTCACACTTGACCAGTCATCTTAACAATATTAGCACACCGTCCTCTTTGATTTGCGCCGAAGAAAGCTTCTGACGAACCGTCCTACTGATATCCTTTTATCTATCATACCGGATCGCGGTGCAGTCTTACGCTCGATGGCATCCCAAACGCAGACGGGTCAACGACCCAAGGTCCAGCCTTGCCGGTACAAGACTGGGAAAACGCTCGGAGCTGGCTCCTACTCAGTGGTGAAGGAATGCGTACACATCGATACTGGTCGATACTACGCAGCGAAAGTGATCAATAAGCGGTTAATGGCCGGGCGTGAGCACATGGTAATTATCCTGTGGACCTGAAATGCGGCCTCTGAAGTCAACGTGGACATTGAGTGGAGGCTGATGTGTAGCATGGTATAACGACAGGTTAGGAATGAGATTGCGGTGCTGAAGAGAGTCTCCATGGGCCATCAGAACATTCTGACTCTGGTTGATTACTTTGAGACCATGAACAATCGTATGGCTACCCTTGCTACTCAGTGGAGTTTCTCAAACTGACGTGTCTTTGTGATTTTACAGTATACCTCGTCACAGAGCTTGCTCTGGGTGGAGAGCTGTTTGACCGCATCTGTCGTAAAGGGAGCTATTACGAGTCCGATGCGGCCGACCTCATCCGTGCGGTCCTCTCCGCGGTGGCTTATTTGCATGATCATGGCATTGTGCATCGTGATTTGAAACCTGAGAACCTGCTGTTCCGGACACCGGAGGACAATGCGGATCTCTTGATTGCGGACTTTGGCCTGTCCAGGATCATGGACGAGGAGCAGTTCCATGTCCTCACCACGACATGTGGCACGCCAGGTTATATGGCTCCGGAGATCTTCAAGAAGAGTGGACATGGAAAGCCAGTGTATGTTTTTCACCGCCTCTTAGATCATCCCCAATCTGAATTCTATGACTGACTTTCTGCTTAGGGATATCTGGGCCATCGGTGTCATCACTTACTTCCTACTCTGCGGCTACACTCCCTTCGATCGTGACTCCAACCTGGAAGAGATGCAGGCCATCCTTGCAGCCGACTACTCTTTCACGCCTCTCGAGTACTGGCGTGGTGTTTCCCAATCAGCCCGGGACTTCATCAAGGGTTGTCTGACAGTCGATCCCAAGGCCCGAATGACCGCCCATGAAGCCCTCCAGCATCCCTGGATCAACCCGCCCTATGATCTCAACAACGAAGGTGTCTCGGGCGAGGACTTGTTGCCGACAGTCAAGAAAAACTTCAATGCTCGTCGGACACTGCACAAAGCCATCGATACCGTTCGTGCCATCAACAAGCTCCGCGAGGGAGGAGGGCTCATGATGGATGGTGTGATGAGCCTTGATCCCAAGCCGGAGCATGTCAATGGTAGTGAGGTTACCGAGGAGCAACATGATGGGCGGATGGAGATTGACAGCCGCGGTGACGCACGTGGGCAAACTGAGGAGCAGATTCGGGAGCAGGAGCGAAGGGTCAAGGAAACTGTGGCTGGGTTGTGGAGTAGGTCCGTGAGGAAATGAAACAGATTCTCGACTTGATTCGGCACCAGAGTCTCTGGGCAGTCACCTGTGCTGATTGGGGATTTTACGGGCTCTACGTGGGAAAATACCACAAATGTCTTGAACTTTGCATTTTAGTTTGATACGCATGTCTAGTCGGATACCAAACGTTATACCTCTCTGGGTTGCCTCGCTTTTACTACAACTGTCTCCATAGCATGTGAACCGTTCCCAAACTATCGACAGGTCTCAAGAAATATATTTGCGCAGTGGGGCCGTTGATCTACTCCATATAAGCCTTTAAAAGCCAGGCTCTTCGCTATGTTTTGGGCAAAATTTCTGCAAGAGGGCTGATCTGTGGCAATAGATTTATGGGAAAGATCCCAGCTGGTGGCAGACTCTCCAATCTGAACAGTGATTAGGTACCAATCACTGTATCCACATGAAGAGCAAAGGTTGTAGAGAGTGGGGATGATGGGTGTCTAAAACCCATAATGGATTTCAAAGATCACATGACGCTCTAATCATCTGATAAGTTAGTCTTATCACGTGTTATCTTATCGGGGCATTTGCCCTCTTCCCCTCTCTTCGCTGACATCCCCTTCTACTCACTCTCCCTACAGCGATCAACGGCTGACTTACTTGCTGGCCGTGCCCTCAGTGCTGCTATCTATAGCAGATTTAATACCCACTTCAGGCCAAAGCCCGCTGAGCCCATGTGAAACATTATCGCGACTGCGTCCGCCAAGGGGAATTACAAGTGGGTAGTTTCCTGGTGGACCGAGCCATTTACTTCTAGTAGCTATATCCGGCTGCTCTTCCTTTGCATCCCGGGCGATAGTCTCCTATCCTTAACCAGTGAATTGCTTTTGCAGGAGTGCGAAATTGTATGCAGTCTGCTTTGCTTTGGACATCGCAAGATGGCAAGTCCATCCCATTGCATCTACTGCTTTGAGTGCCTTGCTGCCTCTTATAAAGGCCATGAGCCTATCGATCTCGCAGCTGTGGAGGAGCTGTGGGAGCGATACGAGCAGTCCAAAAAGCTTGCGTCTCTTCAGGACATTAATAACACTGTTTCTCAAAGTGATAGTGCCGACCTTGGACGGGAGGTCGTAGTAGAGGAGGACGACGATGACGACGATGCTGACGGGGAACTCGACACAACGCAGCGTGGCTCAGTGAAGTCGAAGAGGAGCCGTCCACAATCTATCAAGCTGCCCAGTGTCAGTCGCCTTCAAAGCCAGTTGTCTTCGGACTCCTCGAGCGTCTCTACTACTCCATCAGTAATGTCCACCAATTCATCTCGCTCGATTCTATCCAGCTCCACTACTGCCACGACCCCAATTTCAGAATCTGCGCAACCTGAGACGGCAGAGATGCGGCAACAAAGTTTGAAAAACCAACGTTATCCATTGTTTGTGACGTGGAATACTCTGTCGAAGAACGGCCACAAGTCCCTTCGTGGATGTATTGGTACATTCGAGGCGCAGGAGCTCGCCGAAGGCCTCAGAGCCTATGCTCTTACTTCGTACGTATCATTTTACTGAATGAAATATCGACGTCAGCTTCTCGAGACTAACACTGAAGCACAGCGCATTCGACGATTCGCGTTTCACTCCGATCCCACAGTCGCTTCTACCATCATTATCATGTTCTCTGACCCTTCTCGGTTCCTTTGAGCCCTGCACCGACGCTCTGGATTGGATACTTGGTGTGCATGGTATCCGTATATCTTTCATTCACCGCGGCCGGCGCTACGGCGCCACTTATCTGCCGGATGTGGCCGTAGAGCAAGGTTGGACGAAAGAGGAAACACTGGAAAGCTTGATGCGGAAAGCTGGCTGGGACGGAGTGTCCACCGGGGGTGTTTCACGGCGAATTCTAAGAGGAAGCAGCAGCGGCGGTCACCCTGGCTCCAGCAAGCCATGGGAGCAGGTTTCGGACTTTCGCGTCGTGAAATATCAGGGTCTCAAGGCTAGTGCCAGCTACGCGGAATGGCAAGACTGGCGGGAGTGGGTCATGTCCTTGGAGGACGGGAGCGAAGATTTGTTGTGCCCGACCGCTCGCTGACCCATTTACGATTGATACGATCCTCCTCATGAATGCGGTGTTTGCGCTGGCACACATCCGCTTATCACAATATCTACCAAAATAATGAGGAATGTGCTTTATGAGGATCTTGGTAAAGGCGCCGTTTGGCTATTTTTTGTTTTGAGAGTGTTTATTGAGGGTTACTATTCGATCTATATACTATAGCAATATATCCTCCCTATGAGGGGGATTTCTCTTGGAGTGAATCTTTTTCAACTTGCAGTTCTCATCCCAAATACTCGTTCGGCGGCCCCCCGGGGGCGGAAATATGCCTTAGTAGCGTCCGTGGGTCACTGAAAAAAGCGCTGAGTACCTTAGGCAAAAGCCCCTAAGCCCCGTCAAAGAAACGTCACTCCTCGTATACAAGCCTTGGCCAACGGCCTTCTCTGGGCCACAAGTTGCAGGAATGGCTGGCGAGGATACGGGAGCGCGACCATCACCGCAGATGAGTGGTGTGGAGAACGCACTGTGCATGGAATCGTGAGGAATAGCTGACAGTCTCACCCGAAGTAAAGACTGGCTTGTTCTCAGAGTCAGGCGGTGCAGATTCTGCAGTACAGCTGGTACGGCGGCTCAGGGATTAATGACCGGCTGTGTGATGGCGCAGGTTGTAGTAACCAGTAAAGTGCCTCAGAGTACAGGTAAAAAGGTCAAGAATTCACCGCGGCCGATCGTCTTTGGGTACTGGCAAATTCATCATTGACAGCATGTTCCCTGCTGGGCCTGGAGTGCCAGCTTGGCCCTCTAGACTTTGCAGTAGGTTTTTGGCAAGATTGATATCGATATCGTCGTCTTCGACGATGTCCTCACTCTGTTCATTTGCGTCACCGGGCTCCTTTTGTGATGAATCTGATATTGCGCGCTTTTCAGTTGAGGACTTCTTTGGACGATTTAGGTCGAGGACGCCTGTGCCTCTCAGCTCCGCTTCCATCTGAGCGGAAAGCTTCTGTATTTCTTCCAAGTCGTCTTCGGATTCGGAGTTCAACTCTTCAATTCGACCGCGTGGAGCTGACGGTTGCCTGGACGCCCCCTGAAGGCCAGGCACAGAGGGCGGCAGGCCCATCATTTCTTTCATCATCCGTGAGAACTCTTCTTCGTCGAAAGATGCCTCTTTATCTTCGCCTTCGTCACTCACTTCATCATCGATGTCATCGTCAATGTCCGAATCCGAGCCGAAATCATCAATGAAATCGGCGCCTTCGAATCCAGCAGATTCATCGTTCAAGAATTTCTCAAACTGAGCCACGATGCGTTGAAGATTCTCTTGAGCGTTGGCATCCCCAAATGCGCCCTTGGCCTGTCCATCGCTGGCCGTGCTCTTGTCCTTGCCCTTCAGCTCGCGGTCAAGATCCTCAAAGTTGATGTCCAGCCATTTTTCATCGTCCTGTCTCTTATCCCATCCAGAGATCTCTTCATCCGTAGGTAGTTTCTCATCTCCAGAATCCACATCCTCCAATAGAAGCTTCATTTCTCTCACAGACGCTTTGTCTTGGTTCTGAGGATCGGTGAGGAGCATTTCAAAACCACACGAAAGTTTCATCCCTACTTCCGCCCGGTCGAATGCAATTCGGTCATCCTTCGGAGGGAGTTTTCCTAGCCATGACTTGGGTGCCGGGAAATCCTGACTCTTGAGCTGTGCATAACTGACTCGGGTAAACCGTACGCTGACGGTGACAAAATCCTCCGGCTTGAAGATGAATGTGCTAGCGTCTTTGGATCTGAGCGGTCGCAGCGCGATGGGATCACGTAGATAAAATGCCTCTATCGCTGCCGAAATATAGGCTGGCTTTTGGCGGAGGAGAAATGCGACCTTTCGTGGAATGGTTACGAGCGCTGAGTGGAGGTTCTCGCTGATCTGTTTGGGATAGTTCCGTAAGCGATAGAAAGCTTCGTCTTGGATCATTGCAGAACGCAAGAGTCGCTTGGGTTCCTCTTTGATAATTCTTCTTGAGTCTGCAAGCGACAGCTTCTCAGCGACCTTCCGAGCTCTATCATGCTTCGGCTTGATGATGACAAGTTCTCCTTGGTGTATCCATACCTGTGCAGTTCGTCAGCCATCGAGTACAATTTGACCATTTTTGCACAGGTCATGCTACTCACTCTATTGTCCGCTATTTCCGGTTCAAGCCAGGAGGGCAAAGCGCCAGCCGCCTCAACCAGTAAAAACTGGCCGTCACTGTCGATCACCTTAACCCAAATATCCTGGTGCTTCTTGGTCAATTCGCGCAGAAGATAGACAATCACCCATTCATCTTCGATAGAGTCTCCATAATTTGTGCGCCCTCGTAGCGCCATGATACCTATTTACCAAGCTGTTAGCATACGAGAATCGGCGCAAATTTTCGACTGTGCAGACTGCGCTCACCATCTTCCTTCGTGATCTCCAACTTGAAGCCTTCCCGCTGCCATATATAATCCTTCAGATAGTATTTCGTCAAATCAGCTGCGCTCCGTTGCACCTCCACCAATCGTGACCTTGTCTCTGTCGTCTCATCGTTGATGGCGGGGGCGGGGTCGGAGGGGATATAGTAAATGGAATATTCGACCGCATCATCAGGGAGTTCTGGCTTAGGGATGGGACGGAAAGTGGATCTGAACCATTCTAAGTCTTCTTGGGACATGGGCGCCATCTTAGATAACTGAGCGACTCTGACGCGACAGAGAAGATTTGCTACTCGAGAAAAGAGAGGAAAGGGTCCCTTTCCTTGACCGCGGCTGGAGAAAATGATAAATTACCGGCATGACTTCATACCGAAAGACACACGGCGAAATGCTCGGCCCGACTGTCGCGAAGAGCACGCTAAACCATATCAGACTAGATGTCAACATTGCCCAGAAGCCACATCCTCACCGCCCAAAACACATCTGTATGAGCAAGACATCTTTCCGCCTAATCGTTCTGCTGATTGTTGTTTATGAACGACTGAGGACATGAGGATGATTGCGCATTAAAGTCATCACTGTTGATTTGACTCTGGATCCGGATCACGGACTATCCTCGCGTCAAACGCGTCGAAAATGGCGTACCCTTATATTGACACGCCGCGAACTGAAGTCGACGGAAACGCGACTTACTTGACCAACGGTGATCGGAGCGTCGGCCGACACAATCTATCTGCACTCGATTCGGTCGAAAACTCATTCCAGTCGCCTTCGAAGGATGGGGACGTTCTCAAGGTGCTCGGTGACCGAAGACGCAGTTCCGGCGGGTTCAAGCTCAGCACACCGCGTGCTGGTTCGAGTTCGAGGCCGATAAAAAGCGCGTTGAAATCTCGACAGCACCTTCCTACTGTTGCGCCTGCTAAAGGTGAATTTACTCCATTGATGCAGAGCGCTACGAAGAACAATCTGCTGAGGAATCTGACCACGACGCGCGGGGCCGGCGACATCAAAACACCAGCATACCTGAGAGCGAGTTATCGGAGTAATGTCAATACTCCGGGATTACCGCCGATGGAGATGACAGGAATTGATGAGGAGGAGGACATCACAGAAGAAGCCACTCCTTTGCCGCAGGTTGCGAGCAGTAGTGTTCAGAGCACCCCGCTCCCTTCTTTGCGAAGGGATGGAAATGTCCTCAATGACGGCCAGAATAATATGACCTTGAAGGAGCAGGAAAAGGTGAGTCAACAATGTCTTACTGACAACATAGACCGAATTGAGGACTTTGCTAAAGACTATTTGCCTTAGTTAATCGATAAACTCGATAAAGATAATTTCGGACTGAAACTGAAGATCCATTATCTGCAGGAGCAATTGCAGAAAGCAGGTCCGGAGTATAATCAAGCGGCTCTCAAGGAAAATACGGAACTCAAGGTTACGAAGCTGACCATGCAGCGAGACATTGCGCGGTACAAGAAGAGCCTTCAACAGGCGGAACGCGACCTAGAAGCATACCGCCTACAATTCCAGGAAGTGAAGGATAAATTGCGAAGGAGACAGATTGACGAGAGTGTGCAGCAAGAGATGGACTTGATGCGAGAAGAGATGGAAAGGAAAGATAACCGCGTGAGGGAACTCCAAGAGGAGCTTAGAGAGGCCAAGGATCGCCAATCACAACATCTTGAGAAACTTCGGGACGAAATTGAGGATTTGGAAGCGTCCATTCGGGAGAAGGACCGTACCATTGAAGCGCGTGAGGAGGAAATCGAAGAGTTGAAGGACAAAGATAACAAGGACCGAGATTCAGTATCTGAGCTTGAAGCAGAGCTTCGACGCGCTAAGGAGCATCTGCAGGACTTGCACGCAAGTTTGGATCAGGCCAAGGCTGACGCCAATGAAGCCCGAAATGCTGCGAACAAAGCTGTTCAGGAAAAGGAAAAGGCCGACCAAGACCTTCGGGAACTTCATGAAGAGATGGCGAACAAATCTTTCAGCACTAAAGGCCTCACTCGTCAATTAGAGGAACGGACGACCAAATTGGAGGACGAACTTGGAAAATTGGAGCGAGAGAATGATTCATTGAAGGAGCAGCTCGATATGAAAACACAAGACGAACGCCGCCTGGAGGAACAGTATCGGAATTTCCAACAGGATATAGATGAAGAGAAAAGAAAGTTGAGAGACGACGCCACAGCGGCAAAGCGCGAGCGAGACTCCACTCGACAAGAACGAGACAAACTGTTCGCCCAGTTGCAGGATGCACTCGATGAACTCCAACGACGAACAGAAGAGAAAGATCTCTTACAGACCCGGCATCAAGCTCTGACTGATGAGTCTGGTAGTCTACAGCGCGAGCTTAGTCAGGAACGCTCCCAAGTTCGGGAACTTCAGCGAGCTTTGGACGAGGAAAAGCAGCGCTCATTAGAAAACGGACATATCATTCGTGCACAGTACAAAGAAGAGGTCCAACGATTGCAAGAAGAAATCGAGTCTCTTCAGCACGAGATTGAAGACAAAGAAGGCCAGTTTGCGCTTGAGCAAGACAGGTGGGAAAGTGCAAAGCGGACTTTACAACTTCAGAAAGACCGGGCCGAGGACCAAGCGGCTGGATACAAGCGTACTATCGAGAAGCTCGAGCAAGTTGAGCACTCTCTTTCAGGCAAGGAAGTGAAACTGCAGGAGGTCATCGATAGTGAGAAGGCCCGGCATTTCAACGCAGAGGCGGTTCTTAGTCGCCAAGTGAAGGAATTGAATGACGACATCGCATCGAAACGGGAAGTCATTGATGAGCTGAGGAACGAGCTTCTATCTGTCAAGGAAGAATTGAGAGTCACGAAACGTGAGGAAGTCGCCTTGAGAGAGAGAGTCCAGTCTCTAGAAGACGAGGTAGTTGTTCTTCAAGCGAGCTTAGAAGAAGAGCAAGAATACACAAAAGCTCGGCTGCAGAAAGGGTCTTCAGAAGACAGCCAGTTGCAAAAGCTGGTGGCTGAGAAACAGAAGCTTCGTGATCAGCTGGCAAATGCTCACGTTGAACTGCATGATCTGCGCACTTCGGTAGCTGAGCTAGAGGCCGAACGCGATGAACTTCAGAATCAACTCGAGAACGTCAACAACCTGGACGATACGACCCGGTTTGACCGAGAGAAAATTGGTCTCCGCAAATCCGCCCTGCGCCTTGAAGGCGAGGTAAAGAGATTAAAGGATGATAAGGCTTCACTTCTGGAGGCGAAAGAATCTCTTGAAAAGCAACTGAGCTCAGAAATTGAGCGTGCTACACAGGAAGAGAACCGTTTGTCGGCCGAAATTGATCAGCTTCAGGATAAGCTGCACGTGGCCTCCGGTGGGCGAGACAGAGAACTGACGCTAGCTAAAGGTAAAGTACAGCGTCTGGAGAAGCGCATCCATGAACTCGAATCGCTTCTTGAACAGCAGCCTCTTGGAGATATCGAGCAGTCTACTTCTAATGCAGACCTTTCGATGCTCCGTCATGATTTGGACGAGGCGCGAAAGAGAGAACGAGTACTGCTACAAAGGGAAGCCGATCAGAAATCGTCTGTTCGCAAATGCAAGCAGCGAATTTCTGAGCTGGAAAGGGAGCTCCACGATGCTTTGATGAATAAATACGAAACAAGTTCGCCTCATGGGTCGCCCTCCGAGAAATTACATGAAGAAACACGAAGTCTACGGAAGCAGCTGTCTGAGGCTCATCGGGCCTTGAAGGAGTTGAGAGCTAAGAACCGTGACCTCGAGCGAGCAGCTATGCGAGAGGAGGATCAGCGGGATCTCCACGAACTCCTCAAATCTTCCACTCTTGAAGCCGAGTCGCTGGCATTGCAAGTGTCTGAGAGGGATGCTCGCCTCAGCGACTTGAAGTCGCAGCTTCGCAGAGTCCGTGACGAGCGCGCCTTCTGTATCAGAAAAGCCGAGACAGCCACCAAGGAGCTGGAGGTTCTTCGAGAACGTTATGACAAGATCGTCAAGAGCATTGAGTCCAACGCCGACAATAAGAACAGACACGACAAAGAAATCCTAGGTCTCGGAAAGGAGATCATCTGGCTTCGAGCTCGGTTGAGGCGAGAGGAGAAGTTCCGGCGTGACCTAGCTTGGAGCAAGGGCTTGATGGAGCTTGGAGAACGAGTCCGCGTTGCTTGGTATGTGCACCTGTTTTGTAATTTCCCCCTCTCGTTCAGCCACTGACTGTCAACTAGTAACGAGGCCGACCTCAGAATGATCAATGAGATGGGCGTCAAGCCTCGGGACCGGACTCATTTCCGAACTCCACGGCAAAAATTGAAGACTGCCGTCTCCCTGGTTCTGGCCACTGTTCGCATGCAAAGAAAGTCTCGTGAATGGTCGAAGACGAAGAAGTTGGGCGAAGGCCTCAAGCGGGCCAAAAATGAAGTGTTGAAAAAGAGGAGGGAGAGCTCCGGCAAAGCTGCAATGACTTGATTCTGATATTCTTCATTCCTTGCTTATATTGTTCTTTGTTTCCTCCATATAGCCCTCATTCTTGTCTGATTCTGTCGCAGAGATTCCCCTGTGTGCTTTGCATACCCATTTGCGCATGGTCTTGTTAACTTCTTTCCAAGTTTGTTTGATGGATGAATTAGTTTCAGTCTTTATTTGCGAACGCTCTAGGCTTTTTGATTCTTCGCCGGTTGAGAGTCGGGGATACTACGGAGTTGGGCATAAGTTACGACTTCGGGCATTGTTGCTTTCATGATCAGGATATTCCAATGAGACATGTCATTTTATTTTGTTACCAGGAACCAATCCAGTCTACATGATGGAACTAGAAAGAATTTGAAATTTCGAATCTGCCTATTGATCCTCGACAGCTCGTTTGCAGCATAAATGTTTGTGACAGCTCTTCGTGAGAATATGAACAAGTTCAACCCATATCCAAGCCATTTAAGTGTGACAAAAGACAAGAGATGAGAAGAAAGAACGCCTCGCCTCGCCGAACGAATAACGCTTCTGAACACCGAGCTCTTGATGACAGCATGAAGAAGAAAAGGTAAGGGCATAGAAGACATAACGCATAGTAATGGCTGTATGTGTGATAACAGGACCGAAGCCGGCTCTTTGACGCTTTCCCAATGCGTCGGGGGAAAACTCAAAGACGCATATTTATACCAGGTACCGAACAGGAAGGGAGTATGCAGCAAGGTTCTATCAGTTGTATCGTTCAGGAACAGACGTGAAGAACAAAGAAAGTGTCAAGATCAAGCTCCCTCACTGCCGAATTCTTTGGTCCATTCCGCGTTCATTTCGAGGTCTTTCTGGCTGACTGTTGGTCTTGAATTGCGAACCGCTTTAATGAAGTCTTTCAACATAAGGGGTGGCTCAAGGAGCTGATCGGCTTCAATGTTCACCCATGACATCTCGACCGCACCACTATCGCCGGGCGAACACGGAGTCAATTTCTCTGCGCCATCGACCATAACCTGCCGTTTGTCAGTGTGATTCAGGTCCTAAGCCAAGAAACGCGCGGCTCTTACCTTCTTGTAATGTGTCGCTGTCTGGATTTTACGAATGGGCTGCATTAGTGCGTCTTGGACGGCGATGCTGATATCGCTACCAGAATAGCCCTCGCTCATCTCAGCCAAGGTCCGGTAGTCGGCCTGCGTCATTTGGCACGGTGTTTGGCCAACGGCGAGCATGAACATCTTCATCCGGGCGTTAATATCGGGAAGACTGATATGTACTCTCCGCTGAAATCTTCGTCGAATCGCTGCATCTAGTTGCCAAGGGATATTTGTTGCGCCTAAGATGAGCACTCCTCGCGAATCCTTGCCGACACCGTCCATTTGTACAAGAAGTTCGGTCTTGATACGGCGAGATGCCTCTGATTCTCCTTCACCGCGAGGTCCACAAAGGGCATCTACCTCATCGATGAAGATGATCGCTGGTTTGTTTTCGCGCGCCATGTTGAAGAGCTGCTTGACAAGTCTGCGGAGTATGTGTTAGTGAAAGACGCATCGATGCGGTGCGACGCTCGCCGCTCCGGGGAAATCTATACCTTTCACTCTCACCCATCCATTTAGAAACCAAGTCACTGCTACTGACACTGAAGAACGTGCTGTTTGCTTCCGTCGCAACGGCTTTCGCCAGGTATGACTTTCCGGTACCCGGAGGTCCGTATAGCAGAATACCCTTCCAAGGCTGCCGTTTCCCAGTGAATAGGTGCGGAAACTTGATAGGCAAGATAACAGCCTCCTTTAAAGCCTCCTTGGCGCTTTCAAGGCCTGCAACATCCTCCCATTTCACGTTCGGTTTGTCCGACAAGATAGCGCCTGCGAGGGCCGATCGTAACTTCTTCGCATCGGCATCTTCATTATCGTCGTCCTCCTTTCTGATGAAATACGTATATTAGTATGGAACTCAGACAATTTCGACCAGTATGGGTACGAAGATAGGGATTTCGAAGCCATACCCGCCCTTCCCACTTCCTTGCGCCACCTTGCCGTTGGCGCCAATAGCGCTCGGCTTCTTTTTGTCTTCACTCTGAGCCAGGTGGTTTTTAAGTTTCTCTGCTCGATCCATATACTCGGCCGTCTTTGCGCGAATCATCTCCTTGGACCTGGGGTTTTTCTCCCATTTCAAGGCCAGCATGAACAGCTCCAGTGCGGAGTAGTAGCCCTGATATGCCTTCTCGTATTCGCCCCCATTGTCGAGCTCGATGGCCTTTTTCACGGCATCGATCGCCCGACCTAAGAAATCTGTATTATTGGTCATGATCTCTCACAGTTCAAACTGCTTGTTTCTCCAACACTGGCGTCGACGTCGAGAAGCCGATCGGGGAGTGAAAGGCGGGGGTGCAACCAAGGGACAGTTGCCTGGTTGATTGATCGCCAGGTGAACGGGATAACCGACGAAACAGATAAAACGAATGAGCGAGGTCGAGTACCAGTAGTTTTTCAACGCATAAGCGAATCGTGTTAATGCGACAGAAGGGACAGTAAGTGCTTGGCTTGTTCACAGCAGTTATGACGACGAAAGAAAGCGGACGGCCCTCGCCTGGAGGAAGTTGGTTCGGTCGTTGTTTACCGTTCTGTCATTACGGTAATTACCAGCATTCTGTGCCCCCGCCAACGCCCCCTCACGCTCAAGAGAGCATTGCCAAAGCCATAGTCGATTTTCGAAGTAGTTGAGGACAATTCGACAATATGGCAGACCCGCAGAAGCTGTTCCAAGCTCTCTCTGATGAGTATCAGAAGCTACAAACCGGTATGTGATTTCCCGTTCCAGCACCCAGGCGATTCAATCAACTCGATTGCATATTTGCAAGCTCTAACACGCTGCTGATATCATATCTAGATCTCGAAGGTTTCATCGATGCTCGCCAGAAGCTCGAGTCGCAGCAGCAGGAGAACCAAGGCGTGCAGGGAGAATTTGCCAAGTTGGATGAGGACTCGAAAATCTACAAGATCGTGGGGCCCGTCTTACTGAAGCAAGACAAGAACGAGGCCGTCATGGCCGTAAACGGACGACTTGAGTTTATTGAGAAGGAAATGTGCGTTTTTCCCTTATCATATACTACCAGCTGATTGAAGACCATGGCTGACGACGTCGATAGCAAGAGAATCGAGGGACAGATCCAGGAGGCTCAAGAAAAGGCCGAGAAGAAGCGCGCGGAGGTGAGAAACACCCCCAGAAAGATATCATAGTCTCGTTCTGATGATCCATTGTCATAACAGATTGTTCAATTCCAAACCCAGCTCCAGCAACAAGCTGCCGCTTCCGCTTGAGAATTTTAGATTCTGGTTCAATTCGGTTCCATCGGAGATCTGGTCCTGGGGTCAAGGATGCCAGACCACCTGCTCTTGGGAATGTCTTAGTCGCACAACTCCACCTCATCTATGGGATACGAGCCATGTTTCGCGCTCCTTTAACTACCATAAGAGTGTCGAATCTGGTCAACTGCCAGGTCGGGTCAGAGGAGGGTTGGTTTGCCGATTTCTCTACGTATTCGTCACTAACCAATATGTGTGGCGCCTGACCGGAGGGTTCTGACGGCGATACTTTTTATATACCCCCTTTGTGTTGAGCTGCTGTCTAGAAGTTGCATCGGGCGTTAGTCGATGCTTGGACGATTATGCATTAAATTTGTCCAGAGTCAAGAGCAAAAGACCTGTGGAGTAATAGCTCGTAACAGTCAGAAAAGCCCGCACGTATATAGCGCAACGGTTCATTAAGGCGCTATTGGGATATATTTGCCTCTCAAAAGCTCGCCAAGACCACCTATGCCTATGGAATCATCGCACATGAAACTATTTCGTCAACTCCTCCCATTGTACGCCAGCCCATTCCTCACGCCATCCGACTACTCCGACCTGTTTCGGCCCACAGTCTTTGCTGCAAACACCAAGAATGATGGTGCCCCATTCCATACCAGCATCATCCTTGGGCCCTAAGCCGACTCCGTCGCGGCCCTCTTCTAAGACAGCAATAGCGTGCGGTACGAGTTGTAGCTCAAAGACACGTCCACTACCGCAGTACTCGCAGCGTGGAAACCGGCTCGCGCTACTTGCGACAGTCGTCACCCGCGAACCGGAGCTGCCATGCTTCGGGTCATGGAGCCGCTTGCCCACAGCGTCGGTGTAAGAATAGAGAAGCGGAGATCCACGAAACTCATAGCGCAGAACTTGTTCTGGATTGTGTGCTAAGCGTGTTGAGAATCGGATAAAGGCCTTGTCCAACTCAGACTCAAAAGCATCCTTGAGATCTGAAGAAGACCCTTTGCCTGTTTCCTCCTCTTCGGTGTTATCTATCGTGACATTCGCAGGTATTGTTGGTGTGGGGGGTCGAGAAAGTGTCTCATATTCGGCGTCCAGGTAAAACTGCGGATACGGAGCGGGGAAGGCGGATTTCTCAGGCCAAGGGGCAGCAGGTCCAGCGGCTTCCGGTGGCATGGTTTCTGGAGGTGGGGAGGAGACTCTGACCTTGTCGGCGAAGGTCTCAGATAGAGAGGTAGTTGATGGTGCTGTAGTTGAGGTCTCCTTAGCTTGCGTCGGTGCTGCAGTAGAAGGAGCTGCAAATGGGTTGCTGGGAAGCGCTGAAGATGTGTTCGCTGAGAAGGGATTTGGGTTCGCGGAAACACTGCCAGTGAGGGAGGTAGTTCCAAACAGACTGGCTCCCAGATCCTGCTTTGGAGCCTCGACCTTCTGCTGTCTGTCCTCCTTCGGCTTCTCTTCTGGTTTCCGTGGCGCCTGCTCGATCTTAAGCTTCCTCACTGCGCGCAACGCTCTGATGCTGCCTGGCTTCTTGTTGCATGCCTTTCTGGGACATCCAAATATATACAACCGTCTCTCATCATCAGGGAAATGATCGGGAAGGTCACCGTGCAATTCAAGGAGGAGAGGCATCGGACTGTTGCAAACTTTGCAATTGGCGAAATCACCAGGGGGCGGGGTAGAATCGTCAAGCCATGTCTAGCCATGAAGATCAGTATGAATACATCGTTTGATAGTCGAGTCACTCCACATACCGGCCAGCCTCCAAGGTGACTGATACTATCATCTATGACTTCTTCGGAAGGATATCCTAGAAGCACTCCGGTCTCGGTGAAATCACCCTCATCATCGAAACCCGAGGAATCGCTGTCGTACGGATCCATTGTCGTAGGATCTAGTAATCAACGAATGAAACAATCAGACTTGAGTTATATTCCCAGAAATTGCATATGGACAACAGTGAAGTGTAGCGCTAACAACCCCTCCAAAAGTTCTCTACATCCGAAAAAAAGATAAAAAAGATTGGGCGCGATAAGCGATACGGGGCTGGTATTAGACTAGTCCAGATGCGGACTAGCACGATATGGCCTCTGTGCTGTCTAAGGCCTCATCATCCCCAACGACAGCACTTCCCTGTGGTAACGTCTGTCATATTCATCTGTTAGACAGGCTGACTCGCTTTTGTATATCTCATACATTGTCTATTGATGGAAACTTGTGGTTCCGATTGAGACAGTAAATCAAGGTTGTCTCGGCCGTAACTCCATCAGTGACGTACTAGTAGTTTGGTTGATCCTAGTGCGCTTGAGCATCAACTATACCATTGAATGACATCTAATGCACTTATGGATTCCTCCTCGCGGTCGATCCAACATGCCCTCCTACGCTTATTTACTATCTCATTTACAATAGTCCTTTGTTTTGCCTCGCTCATCAATGCCCAACAACAACCGCTAGAGTCACCTCACGACAGCCCTAAACGGGTTGCAATAATCGGTGAGAAACTCGAAATCTGGATATCATCAATGGAAGACTAACCTTGATCAGGAGCCGGAGCTGCAGGCTCGTCCACTGCGTACTCATTGCGCAAGATTGCAGACTCTCTTCAGGTTCCAGTTGACATCACCGTCTATGAACGAAATTCATATATCGGCGGCCGTTCGACAACCGTCAACGCGCTGAATGATTCGAGATACCCGGTAGAGTTGGGAGCCTCCATCTTCGTATCGGTCAACTACAATCTAGTGAACGCCTCCAAGGAATTGGGGCTTACTGTCCGAAGCGCCGACCACGCTCGCCCCAGAGAGTCTGACGATACGCTTGGCGTCTGGGACGGCGAGCAATTCGTGCTGGTGCTACAGGATACCTATAGCTGGTGGAACATTGCTAAACTGATATGGCGCTATGGATTGTCACCCATTCGTACTCAGAATTTAATGAAAAGCACAGTCAACAAGTTTCTCCGACTTTATGACTCGCCTTACTTCCCATTCAGATCGCTTACTTCGGCTGCGGCCGCGGTTGACTTGCTGAATACCACGTCAGTCCCGGGAGATGTTTTTCTTCACAACGGCGGTATATCCGCGGAGTTTTCGCGGGACGTGATCCAAGCGAGCACGCGGGTCAACTACGGGCAGAATCTACCTCTGATACACGGTCTCGAGACCATGGTTTGCATGGCTACCGACGGAGCGGTTTCTATCGATGGCGGCAATTGGCAGATTTTCGATGGCATGCTGGGGTCCTCAGAGGCCGATGTCAGAGTCAATCACAGTGTGACATCCATTCAACGAAATTCCGACGGCACATTGACCATCGGGTTCAAGGCTACCGAAGTCGAAGAAAGCTCCGTGTTCGACGAGGTAGTTATCGCGGGCCCATTACAAGATTCAGGCATCACTATTGAACCACCCCTCGAGCACGGCCCAGACGAAATCCCCTACGTCAAGCTCCATGTGACCCTCTTCTCCTCACCACATCGCCTTTCTCCACAGTTCTTCAACCTCCCCTCCAACAGTCGCGCTCCTGAGACCGTTCTCACGACTCTTCCCCGAGGTGTGAATTTGAGCTCCAGCAAGGCCGGCGTCGGTCCAGCCGGTTTCTGGAGCATCAGCACCCTTCGCACTGTGCAAGCTCCGCGCAGCGACGGTACCCACCAGAAACAGTACGTGTACAAGGTATTCTCGCCCGAGCGTCTCACGGCGTCGTTCGTAGGAGATATCTTGGGTCTCGAGCACAAAGCATACTCCGCCAATTCGACAATCGGTGACCTTCCAAAGGAGGATGTAAGCTGGCACCATGAGAAAATCTGGAACCCGTACCCGTTCCTCTACCCGCGGGTTACCTTCGAGGACACCATGCTTGCGCCGAGTCTCTGGTACACGGGTGGCATTGAGAGCTTCATCTCGACTATGGAAACCAGTGCTCTGATGGGTAAGAATATTGCCTCGCTGATCTCGCAGTCATGGGGTGATAAGGGCGGCGATAGTCAGGAAACATCGCGCCAGGAAAGGACTGAGCTCTGAGAGATTTGAATCTGTATTCTTTCATTTTCGCCTGTCACTGCAGGTATGAGATGTGCCTTGGATAATATATAGATGCGTGCCCATGATAGTGGAAATAAGCATAAACAACAAACCTTCCCCTGATCATATTACTAAAACATGATCATGTAGACTCGAATTCCCTCATCCATTGTGGAAAACCCACGCTGAAGATGAGAAGTTGTGAAAAGCCCGGCAGCACTTGAAGTAGAGCTGAGGACGGTTGGATTACTACAGTTAGATGGTTATGAAAGGGAAGATCTTGAAATCATTAATCTTTTAGTTCATTCATAGACTATCTTAGTCAAGATAATCGATGGTAGCTAAAGCTCAAATTAAGCCCAGACAGTGAACCTTTCGTCCTGTTGAAGAAATGTTGAATATTTGTTCATACGCATGTATACCGTATCCCATGACCCGCGTAAGGTTGAAAAAGCAGACCTGTAAAAACCCCTGTAACGTACTCCCGGCGACCCAATTTTTATACGCAATGATGTTGAACTCGTCAAAAGCCTGAAGAAAACCAGAAAAGCATGTTTTGGTATCATGTGAGATTATTCGTTCTGCCCTGATGTTTAAACAGGCAGAGGGAAGGTGCTGGCCCACTCGGCGACCTCCTTGCGGAGAGCGAGGATCTCGGGAACAGAGTCGGAGGCAACCTTGACCTTGAAGTCCTTGAGCTTGTTGGCCTCCTTGGGCAGGTCAGTCTGGATGCTCTTGCAAAGGTTGATGACCTGGTCGATGTAGCGAGCGACGCGCTTGAAGTCCTCCTCGCCCATACCACGGCTGGTCATAGCGGGAGTACCGATACGGATACCGCAGGGAGTCAGAGCAGACTTATCACCAGGAATGGAGTTCTTGTTGCAGGCAATGTTGATCTGCTCGAGGACAGCCTCGACACGAGCACCATCAAGACCCTTGGCGCGGAGGTCCAGCAGGACCATGTGGCTGTCGGTACCGTCAGAGACGAGCTTGTGGCCGAGAGCCTTGAACTCGACCTCAAGAGCCTTGGCGTTCTTGATAACCTGCTCCTGGTACTGACGGAACTCAGGAGTGGCGGCCTGCTTGAGGGCAACAGCCAGAGCAGTGATGGTGTGGTTGTGGGGACCACCCTGGTGACCAGGGAAGACGGAGAAGTTGATAGGACCCTCAAGATCATACATGATGTCCTTGCCGGTCTTGGGGTCAGTGCTGCGCACGCCCTTGCGGAAGAAGATCATGGCACCACGGGGACCACGGAGAGACTTGTGGGTGGTGGTGGTAACAACATCGGCGTACTCGAAGGGAGAAGGAATGACACCGGCGGCAATAAGACCGGAGATGTGAGCCATGTCGACGATCAGGTAGGCGCCAACCTTGTCGGCAATCTTGCGCATACGGGCGTAGTCAATGAGACGGCAGTAGGCAGAAGTACCAGCGACCAAGCACTTGGGACGGTAGAGCTCAGCGTTGGCCTCGAGGGTATCGTAGTCAATGATGCCGGTCTCAATGTTGACGCGGTAGGGGAATGTCTCAAAGTAGGTAGAAACAGCGGAGATCCTGAGCAAGTTAGCACACGGTTCGACAACGAAAGAAAACGCGGAAACCTACTTCTTGGAAGGAGTCTGGTAACCGTGACTCAGGTGACCTCCGTGGGGAAGATCCAGACCCATGAGACGTTCATGGGGGCGCATGAGAGCCTGGTAGACCTCCAGGTTGGCAGGGCTACCGCTGAGGCACTGAACGTTGACACCCCACTTCTCGGGGTCGAGGTTGAAAGCCTTCAGGGCACGAGCCTGGCAGGTGAGCTCAATGGCATCAATGTGCTGGTTACCACCGTAGTAACGAGCACCGGGGTAACCCTCAGAGTACTTGTTGCACATGGGAGAGCCGAGAGCATCGAAAACGGCACGGGAAGTGACGTTCTCAGAGGCAATCAGGAGGATGGACTCGCGCTGACGCTTGATCTCTTTTTCCTGTTGAGAGAGTCATGAATTAGTCGAAACAGTCCAGTATTTTTCATTCTCAACCTCAGTTTCAAGGAGGAGCAAATGCAGTAGGACATACCATGATCTGAGCAATCTCAGGGTCGGAGTCGACCAGAGACTTCTCCATTTGCTACAACGAATGAGTCAGTCTTGTGAGCTCGTAAGACAAATCTCAAGGTGGAATATTCACCTCGCGGTGAGACTGCGACAAAGCGTAGGTGGCCATTGTGAGTGATGATATTGTCCAAATGAAGGAATAAGGATGGACAAGAGGTGAGGTGAGTTGTATAAGGATGAAGAGAGAAGGGAGGAGAGGAGGAAAAAAGGTTGGGGGAACGAAGGCGAAGAAAAGAGGACAGGAAAATCCGGTGATGGTGGGGGGGGAGGAGTTGGTGGGCGGGATGGGATGGGTGCCTCAGGAAGCCAATTAGCGGGGACCTGTAGCTGTCAACGTTCGGGGCCCGAACGACATCGGAGGTTTGATGAAGTCAACCGGGGTCCTCACCGGCGCTTTCTTAGCAAACCGGAGAAAATTGGTTCTTCAAATTGGAAGTCGTCAAACTTGCTCTATTTTTGACTAATTGTGATTAGACTAATTTCTCCCTATCCGAAGTCGACAAGAAACAGCACCCAAAGTTAGATAATCTCAATATGTCAATGAAACTGGTCGCTTGCCAATTGTCACAGTTGTCCCAGATTCAACACAGGGTCCCTTATCTAACAAAACATTTGCCTCTACGGATTGGAAAATAATCTTGAATCATATAAATCAATATCAATTGCGTCAATACTACCTAGTAGCCCGACCATGACTTCCAAGAACCTAAAGAGGCCGGCGACTCGGACAAAGTTTGGAGATTCCAACCGTGGTTCCCTGGCGATCTGATCCGTAAGATCCTTGCTCCGTTTGAGGTCGGCTCCGGCGCATTGATAGGACACTTAAGTCTCTCCGAAGTATGCTAGGTAATGGATGGTTCTGATCCAAGACGCGCCAGCAATTGACGGTCGCCCAATATAGGCAGTAAGATCCATTCAGTGCTCCACGTAGAGAGCAGTCTCAGCGACAGCGGTTTTGTCATTCAGGCCGGTATCGTCATTGCGAGGATTGCCTGTCGACTTCCAGGTCGCGACACCCGAACCCAACCATCGGCATTTGCCAACGTTTTAAGGAGTCCAGCCGCGGTCTATCCTTAGGAGTATCAGCTACCTAGTCAGCAGTGTCACCAACGAGAGTCTTGGCAACAAAGTAGCTATTTATGCTGTGCCAAGCAAGTGATGATCAGGCAGGTATCTGCGGGCTAGGGAGTATGCACCCCCTGTTTTACCTGCAGAGTGTGAAGCGGGGACCGCGGTGGCCAGGTTTGTATTGAGCCCCACGAGTGCCAAAATCCATAGTCCTAAACCGATCAATGGTCAAGGACCAATGCAAGATTTTTGTCTTGTTGGTGTACTAATATTTTTCCTCGTGAAGTGAGGCTATACCCTCAGAGCCAACCATCGAGAGGGAGCGAAAATGGCCGAAGAAACATGTCTGTAGCAACAGCTTTGAGCCAAGGTTGACCCAGCAGCTGGTGGCACGACACTATGGAGAGCTTGTATATTGTCTCTGTGGACTGTGGCCAGAGTCAAGCCTTCATGTACTATCTGTCGAGCTGGCATAATGAGACCAACAGCCAATTGTACTTCGAAGTCTGTTCGAGGCAGGTCAAGTCCAATGGGAATTGTTCCTTGCAAGGGGACAAATCTATTGCAAGACAGGTTTTCCTCTTCATGTTGTTGCTCCAGACAATCAAGCTCCTGTCTCTGCCCTCTTCCCGAAATCTGAAAGAACCGCGTTCAACCTGGCTATACGATCCTCGAGCTCCTCAATCTCCTGCTCCTGCTCAGCGACCGAGCGACCGATGTCAGGTAGGCTTTCAACAACCGCGTGTGCCTTTTGTATGCGAATCTTGATCGAGCTTGCCTCTGTCGGCAAGTTTTTCGCACTCAATGGCGCAAGTCCACTCCCAGTCGCCGAATTCTGTTGCTGAACACCTTGGCCGGGACCCGACGACCCTGATGGCACTTCTCCGCCTGCGTCACCAGCAGTTCTTGGACCGCCTTCACCACCTGTTTGTGCCGAAAGAAGGCGCAGAAGGAGACCATGCAACGGAGGAATTATGTCGAATGTCTGCGGCGGAGGGAAAGGAACTGGTTGTGGTGCTGTGTTCGTGGCCTCCCCTACCATAGGGGTTTCGGGCGCAGATGAGGGTTTGCGAAGCGGAGTAGCCGCGGCCGGTGACCTGGACGTCATTGCGCAAAATCCAGGCTAAGGAATCTGGTATACAACTTGGAGACGTTTCCGTTATCAATATGAAAGTCCCTGTGTCCAATGGGTAATATTAATGGAGCTATAGGGAAGAGTCGGAACGGGTCCAAGGCGGACGAGAACGCACGGGGAAAGCAGATTAACTAGGGGAGAAGCGTGACGTCGGAGAAAGAGAAAGAAAAGACCAAAAAGCGTCACCGGGAAGAAAGACGGCCCCTCCCCCTCCATAGTAGTAATTATTATCATCTTGAAAGCGACAGCAATTGTTTTTCACCGGCCAGCCAATTCTTTTCTCTCTCTCTTTCTTTCAGTTTCCCCCATCCAGTCAATTCTCCTAACGTCAAATTATCACTTCCTTTCTGTGAGTTATATTGAATTATCCTCACTCATTTCCACCCCATCAAAAATTGGTCGTTACCTTCCGTCCATTAACTAACTCTTGGACTAGCTTCACAATGACCAAGGTTGACCAAAAAGTCGTTCTGAGTAAGCTCTCCACGATAGGGTGCTACATCAAGTCGATCGCTAATGTTGAATAGTCGTCATCGACGGTTGGGGTATCCCAGGCCCCGACTCTCCCAAGGAGGGAGATGCGATCGCTGCCGCGGAGACACCCTACATGTCCGGCTTTGCCGAAGAGAACTCGAAGACCGCTCAAGGATATACCGAGCTGGATGCCTCATCGTTGGCCGTCGGTCTGCCGGAGGGCTTGATGGGCAACAGTGAGGTTGGTCATCTGAACATCGGTGCTGGCCGTGTTGTCTGGCAGGACAGCGTTCGCATTGATCAGACCCTCAAGAAGGGTGAATTGAAAAAGATCGACAACGTTGTCAAGTCTTTTACCCGCGCCAAGGAGGGCAATGGTCGCCTGCACCTGCTGGGTCTGGTCTCTGATGGTGGTGTTCACTCCAACATCACTCACCTGGTCGGTCTGTTGAAGGTGGCCAAGGAGATGGAGATCCCTCAGGTCTTCATCCACTTCTTCGGTGACGGCCGTGATACCGACCCCAAGAGCGCTACCAAGTACATGCAAGACTTGCTCGACCACACCAAGGAGGTCGGCATCGGTGAGATCGCCACGGTGGTTGGACGCTACTACGCTATGGACCGCGACAAGCGTTGGGACAGAGTCGAAGTTGCCATGAAGGGTATTGTCAGCGGTGAGGGCGAAGAGAGCTCTGATCCCGTGAAGACTATCAAGGAGCGCTATGAGAAGGGTGAGAACGATGAGTTCCTCAAGCCCATCATTGTTGGCGGCAAGGAGAGGCGTGTGCAGGGTATGTTTCTAGGGAAATCGGACAACTGCTCGTTCGAAAACTGACTGTGTCTTGCAGACGACGATACCCTCTTCTTCTTCAACTACCGTTCAGACCGTGTCCGTGAGATTACCCAGCTGCTGGGTGACTATGACCGCTCTCCCAAGCCCGACTTCCCTTACCCCAAGAACATCGACATCACCACCATGACCCAGTACAAGACCGACTACACTTTCCCCGTTGCCTTCCCCCCTCAGAAAATGGGCAATGTTCTGGCCGAGTGGCTCAGCAAGAAGGACATCCAGCAGTGCCACGTCGCTGAGACCGAAAAGTACGCGCACGTCACTTTCTTCTTCAACGGAGGTATCGAGAAGCAGTTCCCTGGCGAGGTGCGCGATATGATTCCCTCGCCCAAGGTTCCTACCTACGACCATGAGCCCGAGATGAGCGCCGACGCCGTCGGCAAGAAGATGGCCGAGCGCATCGCCGAGGGAAAATTCGAGTTCATCATGAACAACTTCGCTCCTCCCGACATGGTCGGTCATACCGGTGTGTACGAAGCCGCCATCAAGGGTGTCGCTGCCACCGACAAGGCCATTGGTGAAATCTACGAGGCTTGCAAGAAGCACGGATACGTTCTGTTCATCACCGCCGATCACGGGTAGGTTGCTCTCATTTCCACCACTTGACCTGTCTCTATCAGGCTAACGTACATTTGTTTCCCAGTAACGCGGAGGAGATGCTCAACGAGAAGGGCACTCCCAAGACCTCTCACACGACCAACAAGGTTCCCCTCGTCCTTGCTAACGCCCCCGAGGGCTGGAGCCTCAAGAAGGAGGAGGGTGTCCTCGGAGACGTTGCACCCACCATCCTCGCCGCCATGGGCATCGAACAGCCCGAGGAGATGTCGGGTAAAAGTCTTCTGGTCAAGGCCTAGATCATTCATATATAGAATCTTTTCCTTTTTTTTGTTTAGAAAAAGGCTATTTCCAGCTGGTTATGGATCTATGAATCAAGATACTTTGTTTCTTTTTACACACACACACAGAGACCTAATCTCAGAACGCCAAATGCGCCGGGTCCCAAGACTTTTTTTTCCGGAACCTCCCATGCTGGTTCTACCTTCATCATCATTGGGTTGTCTTAGCACAAGTAGAAGAGATCAATGCAACAACCAGATCTCTAGAAATAGGATGAGAGAGAGAGAAAAAAAAAAAAAAAGAGTCATAGAAGAATTTAAGGAAGATCCCCGCTTTACGCAGCCTGCTCAAAACCCCGTCTGATCACACGGCCGAACATGTCCACACCCACGCGCTCGCTCTTGACCTCGCTGCGCGCCTCGTTCTCCTTGTTCGTGGGCACCTTGACCACGGTGCCGTTGGGGCCAGCCTTGTCCACCTCCCAGCTGCAGACCTCGGTGACGAACTTCTCGAGCGCCTCCCGGCTGCGCAGGTCGAGCCACTGCTCCAGCACCTCGGCGTTGATCTCCCGGAAGGCCTTGCCAACCTCGATGGCGATGCGGATGCGCACGAGCTCCTCGAAGCCAGCGACGTCGGCGACCAGGTCCGCGTACAGGTCATCGGAGTTCAGGGTCGACCAGAACTGGGCGTACTGGGCGGACTCGAGGAGGGTGGACAGGCGGGCGAGCTTCTGGACGGATTCGACGAAATCAGAGGTCTGGGAAGCGTCGGCGTCGGCGGTGGGGAAGGGCTGGGTGTGGGCGGGGAGGAGGGCAAGGCAGAGCGAGAAAGCGGGTGAGGGGAAGACGGTGAGGGCCTTGGCGAGGACGTTGGTAACGGTTTCGGGCTGGAGGAGGTGAGGGTTGAATTGGTAGCTGTTTTAAGAGTGGGAACATCTTGTCAGTAACGGAAGTATGAGCAAAGTCGGGGTAATAAAAGCTAGCCCAATGGGACAGTTGTTGTTCTCAGAACATGTTGCTTTTTCTCGACATTCATCCCAGGGGGGATGTCAGGTAATAGGAAACGTGATTATGAAGAAAAACAAGGTTGTTCATCATGTTCGTCCCATGCGATCTGAACACCCCCCGCGACGAGGAGTCCAGGGCAAGCGCGGTGTTTGAGAGCAACAAAAGATGGTACTCACAGCTTCAGCAGAGCCAGGTTGGCGTAGCAGTCGAATGTGCGCTCTTCGCATTGCTGGACAACATAGTCTTGGAATACTGTGGTGGTCTCGGGGTTGTATCTGTCCAGGCCGTTGAGGATGGCCTCGATATGCGCCGGCCGCGTATCACACTTGTCAAAAGTGACACCCATTTTGTTGAGTCGGTCGTCTGAGGGTATGGAGAGGAGGAGTTGAGAAGGTTCAGCTGACACAGACGGCGGCAATGAAGGCGGGTTTATCGTGATCGCTATTGCGGGATGTTCTTTTTTGGTGGGTTTTTTGGGATGTCTGTTCTGCTGTGCGGCGGTCGACCGGAGAAACCATCCAAGAACGTATAGTTTTACCGCGCGGTAGTACACCACCCCGTTTACCGGGGTATACGTATTCGGTAGAACAACAACAAGCATCAGGTTGTCGATTTTGGGACATGGTTTGGTTGATCATGTCTTACCCCGCAGATTGATGATGAAAACTGAAGCTTGCTTCACCGTTTGATGCGCCGTTATTCCCGGTCACACCTCTCTTGTTCAGAATGATATCCGTCCAGGTCACATTCCTGTTTCGCCGGACATGCGCCGGCCAGGGTTATATATGGATGCTCTGCCCTTGGATTCTTGAATGTCGTTAGATTGTTTTTTTGGGTCCATTGGCAAGGGAATCCTTCTAGCATAGATCTACTACGCATTACAATTGGATATTTTGCTCAAATCATGCGCCTTCTTCTTAGTCTAACGTTTCACTGGCTTTTGGCTTTGGCAGCGTCGATCTCTGCGTCGTCCTCTGTCGATTACACACAGTATGTAAATGCTCTGATGGGATCAGAAGGCCCTTTTCCCGGCAAAGGCTACGGAGGAGGCGACATATTCGTCGGAGCTGCACGACCCTTCGGAATGGTCAAAATGGGAATAGACACGACGGCCGCAAACTGGAGCATTGCTGTGCTGAACGGCGGATGGACGCCTGATGGCAACGTGACCGCGATCAGTATGTGATTTGCTCGAAATCCGATGCTCACTCTTTTCTGACGTGTCCCAGCCATGATGCATGAAAGCGGGACAGGAGGTTCTCCGAAATATGGGCTCATTGCGCAGATGCCTCTGACAAGTGTGTCGCCTCCTGTTAATATCCTCGATAATCTAACGTACAGTCAGCCCAGAGCCGGTCAGGATACGGTCAGTGTAGGCTATTTCAAGACCCAGCTGCAGAATGGTGTTCAGGTAGAGCTTTCTGCTTCCAGTCACGCCGGTCTTGTTCACTACTCGTTTCCTCAGGGCGAGAAGCATGTGCTCGTGGATGTATCTCACTATCTGCCCGGTAATCTTGGAGATGCGAATGGCCAATACTATGTTGGCGGAGAGATCAAAATCGAAGAGCACGGTAGGGCTTACAGCGGATATGGGACGTACGTCGGCGGCTGGAACAATGGAGCGCCCTTCACGGTCTATTTTTATGGAGAATTCTCCGACAAGCCTACAATGGCTCGGACCTTCACCGGAGCAAATACAGATCCCATCCCACGATACCAGACACTCGCTGGCGCTGTAGGAGAGCCAATATACGGTAACGTAACGGATAAGGCAACATCGGGGCCTATGAATGATCGTGTTGGCGCTCTTTTCAGCTGGGGCGAAAAGGCAAATCCACAGATCGTCTCACGAACCGGTATCTCGTTGATATCGTCCGATAGGGCTCGGTCGTATATCAGATCCGAGATCCCCTCGTGGAGACTCAATGACACCGTCAAAGGCGCCGTTGATCAATGGAATCAGGAGGTCCTCGGCAAGATCCAGGTGCCACTTGACAGTACTGCAAACATGACCCACGTGCGGCTGCTCTACAGCTCCCTGTATTTCATGCATCTGATGCCCTCTAACCGGACTGGAGAGAATCCGCTCTGGCAGTCGGAGGAGCCGTTATGGGATGACTTTTATACTCTCTGTCCGTATCCATGGAGGCTCTCTGATTATGTACTGACTTGTTTCAGGGGACATCTTCCGCTGCACAGTGAGCTTCTACCATATCTTCCAGCCTACCTACTACGAATCCATGATCCGTGGTCTCATTGACATATGGAGGTAAGGCCACCCTTGAAGAGAACCACATTTCTGGGTTAAGCAAGGTAATAGGCATCAAGGCTTCCTACCAGACGGACGCTCGGGCAATTATAACGGACTGGTGCAAGGCGGCTCCAACGCCGACAATGTCCTTGCCGATGCGTACGTCAAAGGGTTGCGTGGCGCAATCAATTGGACAGAAGGGTACGCAGCAATGAAGACGGACGCTGAAGTCATCCCGTACAATACCTTTGATGCTACGGATCTATCAGCGAGCACCAAGGAGGGTCGAGGAGCGTTGGGGGACTGGCTTGAATTGGGCTATGTCTCTCAGGATCGAAACACACGCTCCATCTCGCGGACCGTCGAGTACAGTCTCAATGACTTTGCCTTGAGCCAGGTAGCCAGCGGGGAGATGCCCGGTGATCGCGAGAAGTATCTGAACAGGTCGGCGGGATGGCAAAGGCTATGGAATCCCGAAGTGGAGAGCTTGAACTTCACTGGGTTTCTAGCCCCAAAGTTCTCGAACGGCACATTCAACAATAGCGGATACGACCCGCTGTATTGTTACGAGTGCGAATGGCATGCGTATACTTATGAAGGCGTACCATGGGGTAAGTGGAGTATCCCGTCCTGAGATCTGTACTGACCATGGCTTCAGAGTACTCTTTCGTGATCCCGCATGACATGGAGACGTTGATTGACTTTATGGGTGGGCCAGACACGTTTGAGGACCGGCTAGACACTATGGTAGGCACGGGTTGAGCAGATTGTTTGAGGATTGTGCTGATATTGCGTAGTTCAAGCCCAATCTGTCAGTTCAGGATCTTGGTGCAAACGGCGCGGGCATAACGACTCTGATGAATATTGGGTACGTGCTGCCATCGATCAACCGTACAAAACAACTTACATGAGGCAGGAATGAGCCCGATTTTGCAACACCGTACCTCTACAACTATATCAACAAACAAGCGAAGAGCGTTCAAATGTCCCGTAGTCTGGGATTGCAGTAGTAAGGGAATCTTATTTTTCAATCTACTCGACAGTAGCTGACCATATCGCCATGCAGCTTCAAGGACGCTCCCTACGGAGTGCCAGGAAACAGCGATGCAGGCGCCATGAACTCCTGGCTCTTGTGGCAGATGCTTGGCATCTACCCCGTGGTCACCCAACCGGTCTACCTGATCTCGTCGCCGTGGTTCCCTGATCTGAACATGACGGTCAACGGGAACCAGACATTGAGAATTACTGCGACGGGGTTAGATGAGGGCTATTATGTGCAAAGCGTCAAGATCAATGGCAAAGAGTGGACAAAGAACTGGTTCGAGCACGAGGACCTCATGGTCCAGGGAGGGACTATTGAGTTTGAATTAGGTGCTGAGATGAAGAACTGGGAGACGGGTAGCGTGCCACCGTCGCCTGGACATGTCCAGCTGTAAGCTGCCGTGCAATTGCGTGTACGAGTTGTCTCCTTAGGGCTGGCTCACATGGCCTCGCCTGGCTTTTCCTAGGAGCCAGAAGGGTCCAGGACCTTGAAAATGTCGCTCTTTACATGTCATTAGCAAACGCTCATAAGGGTTAAATGTAACAGCTGGTTTGAGCATTAAATCTGCTCTATTAGCCGTCTTTCAATGAAGAAAATGGTTGAGATGAACAGAGAATTAGTATCAGCGAAGCCTTTTCTAACAGGGTTTCGTATGTTAGCATCTGGATGTGGTCACAATTGTCCAATCATGGTCATGTACCTCGATAGTAAAACGGC